GATTGTAATTTTATGTTAAAGAGGATTAGGGTGGGATTGTAACACCACCCTTACCCAGGTCACATCCCTGATCCAATGTAAAGGGAGTTTCCCTTGGGTGTGGCCTGTACCACCTTTCACCTTACAAGAGATAAAAGAGAACGGAAGCAAGCAGAGAAGGGGAACCTCATACCACCAAGAAAGCAGTGCCTGGAGCGGAACGTGTCCTTTGGACCTGAGGTTCCTAGGCAGAGAAGCTCCCAGATTAAGGGAAGATTGATGACATGGACCTTCCTCCAGGGCCAACAGAGAAAGCATTCCCCTGGAGCTGATGCCCTGAATTTGGACTTGTAGCCTCCTGGACTGTGAGAGAATAAACTTCTCTTTGTTAAAGCCATCCACTCGTGGTATTTCTGTTATAGCAGCGCTAGATGACTGAGACACTATCTATCTTATCTATATATCTGTATCTATCTATCTATCTATATATATATATATACATGAATGTATATATATGTGTGTGTATATATATATATAGTTTCATATACATTTATAAATCCCTAAAATTGGAGCTGCTCTCGGGACCAAAGTCCCCTCAGCCCTAATTTTCTGAAGCAATCCCAAGCAAGTTTAGAGTTTGGGGGGACAGTTGGAAGCCATTGATCTAGTCCAACCCTCTCATATTACAAATTGGGGGAACCAAGGCTGAGAGGGAAAGTGAAAGGTGAAAACATGGTTGTAGGAGTGAGTGGGAGATAGGCTTCAGGAGGTAGGGGTAGGACTAGAGCAAGGAGCCCAGGTTCCTGGATCACTAGCTGGAGTTGCTGGCCCTCTGGGAGTTTATAGATCAGCAGTGGCAATGTAGACAAAGGACATATCTTCCCTTCCCTAGAGTTACTGGCTCTGGGGTGTTAGTCCAGCGAAAGATCTTTGAGCTGTCCCTCCTAATACACCTAGTTCTTTCCATTTGGCTAGGCTAATTGGAAGGAGAGTGGGATGAGCCACCTGAGTGCCTCTCCCTAGCAGCCAAGTCCCTTCTCCTTCAGGGTTAAGAGTAGGTGGGTAGGCTGCCTTGGTTAGCATCGCTGGGTTTCCTCTTTCTGGGTGTGTCACTTAACGTGTGTCCAGACTCAAACCAGGTCAGTATGACTTCAAAGCTTAACCATCCGGCTACGTGCATATAGTCTGGTGGCAGTTGGAGAGTCTTAAGGAATAGGCACAGAGGACTAAGATTTAGCCTCCCATACATGGGGTTTCCCCCTGGACAGACTGTGTCAAATATCCACGGGTACACGCTCACTACTGTCTGGGTACGCTGAGGCAGGACCTACTTAATAGACTGCGCCCACTGCCTCATCTGGAGTGACTCCATAAGGTACAGACAGGACCACTGCCTCCAAACAGCAGCTAGCCATATCTCTATTTTGATTTCATTCCTTTGGGTGATGAAAACGCTCAGGGGTGTAACCTCACTCCAGGTGGGACGCTGACTCAGCCGCTGGCCGCCTCCTAGATTATCTCAATTCCCGCTTCATCTTCTTCCCATTTTACAATTGGGGAAACTGCAGCTCAGAAAGGGAAAGAATTTTCCCGAAGCAAAAAAAGCTGCCTAGGCTGTTTCAAAGCTCGGCACGGTGGTGAAAGGGCTGAGGAATGAACCACCGCACAGGCTAAAGGACCACCAAGAGTTAAAACGACGATGCTGCGGGCACTGTCAAAGCCTAAAGAGAGACCCCGCCCCTCTGCCCTAGTTCCCCGCCCCCCTTCCGCGCCCAATTTCCGGGCGGGGAGGTAGGGTTTCCGGTTCCGGCGGCGCGCTACAAAGCTCTGCGCTTGGGATCTGGTATCCTTTTCTCCCGAGTCAGGTGTCTGGGTACGAGTCTTCCGCTGCTCCTCCCCGCTCCTGTTCTCCCGCCCTCCGAGGCGGCACCTGCGCAGGTGAATGCTTCCTTTCTTGCCTCCTACCCCGCGCACTGCCCGTTGGGAGTAGGTGGCCCCAGCGGCGGCCCTGGGAGCGAGGAACCATGTTGGTGGGTTTTACGGGGTCCTCGGGCTGCCGTGGCCTTAGGCCTCAGCGCAGGAGGTGGAGATACTCGTACTGGAGCCCTGGAACCCCATTTTCCGGCTCCACCTTGGCCCTGGTAGAGTTAGGTCCCCTGAGCCGCGCCCGTGTAGTGGGAGGAGTCGGGCTCTGCTCCCTGCCCAGACTCGGGGGATTCCTTTACTAGGCTGTCTGGTCCCACCACCTCCCAGACGCGTGACCTTGGTCAAGTCCTCTCTGTCGGGGTCCTAATTTGCTTGTGTGAGTGAAAATGAGAGTATCTGCTCCATTCGGTTATCGAGAGGGTCGGATGAGGGAAAGCTATGGGGTGCTTGCCCAGTAAAATTCAACAAATAGTAACAGCTGCTGCTGTTAAACGGAGACAACTGAGGCGGTAGAGAGTCTTGTAAGAGTGGCTAAGAGGATCACATAGAGAAGAATGTATGTAAAACTCTCAGCAAAATGTCACATATAAAATGCTTAGTAAGCTGGTGAAATTAAATTTTGTGTTTGGCAGGTAGTGTTCTAAAGCTGTTAGGATTCATAAGTTGGGTAAATTGTGGAGCTGGTCCATTCTTCATAGCAAACCTTGAGGACTGGCCTACTGACAAGACTGTTTCTAGAAGCTGGAGTTTTAAAGACCAAGGGTGCTGAGAATTCGAGGAATTAACAAAAGGGTATTTTTCTAAGTGTGTTAATGTTTTCACTCAGAAGGGTTGTGGGCAGGAGGGGAAAGCCTGAAAAGTTTTCTCCCTCTTGAGTTGTTATAAAATTATTTCATTTTTGTAGGGTCACTGTGAGTCGGAATCGACTCTACTACAACGATTTTTTTTTTTTTTGGTAGGTGAAAACAAAAGTCAAAACAATAGGAAAAAAAAACAAAAAACCAAACCCACTGCCATCCGGTCACATTTCGACTCATGGCGACCCCATAGGGTTTCCAAGGCTGTAAATCTCTAGAGAGGCCGACTGCCACATCTTTCTCCCTAGGAGCCACTGGTGGTTTTGAACCACCGAACTTCGGTTAGCAGTCAGGCGCTTTAACCACTGCACCACTGTTGTTGTTAGGTGCTGCCGAGTGGGTTCTGACTCAGCAGCCCTATGTATAACAATGCAGTACTGCCCGGTCCTGCGCCATCCTCACTTAAACTGCGCCACTAGGGCACCGTAAACAATAGAGAAGGGTATAAGATAATGCCTCCCCCTTTCCTCTTTGTTTTTGTCCCTCGAGTAAAATACAATTTCTTAGATAATCTTCCAGACATTGTCTGTGGATTTATAAAGTCATATATGCTTATGTGTATATATTTTAAAGGCTGCACAGCATTCTAGTGAATGACTAGACCATACTTCATTTAATCGTTTTCCTATTGATGGTCACTTAGGTTGTTCCCAAGGTTTTGCTTTCCCACAATTCTTCAGCCAGTCTTTCCTTGAATAAATATTTCCTTTTTACCCAAGGCATCCTTGAGTTGTGGGGATATTCTGTTTTTGTCCTCAAAACCCTAGGTTAATAATCGCTTACTTTTGGGGATGAACAAACTCTTGACTGAACAAAAACCCAGGTAAGTATATGAGAACTGGTGTATTCCAAGAGTATCCAAGCCACAGGATCTTGAATCTCCTTTAGAGAGCAGGTGCCCAGGTGTGTGGAGCTAGTAATGCAGGGCAGCTGGTTAGTGTTGGCGATTGTTTGCCTCTCCATCAGTAGTTGCCCGGGAAGCAGATGGAGAGAATCTCAGTTGGGAGACATTTTAAATGTCAACACTCCTGGTAGGTAGAACAGAAAGGGATAACATTTTGGGGGGCAGGGGAGGTTGTTAATAAAAAATAAAATATGATCCTTGAAAAAATTGACTATGCCATATATACCCTTTGATTAGGTGACAGTGTACCTGTAAGTGCCAAAACATGCCCTGAATTGACAATTTAGTCCTTTCTGTTCTGTCATTTGAAGAAGTAGGTCTTTTTTTTTTTCTTTTTTAAACACCAGGATGTGGTTTTTATGTAAATAACCCGTTTTGGATTCCAGTCCTAACCCAAAATGAAACAAAGCCCCCCTCCCCTGGAATTTTTCTGGCTGATTTTCAGAAGTATTTTGTTAGGCCTTTCTTACCTCATGCTGTTGTTGATTGCTGTCAGGTTGATTCCCACTCGTGGCAACCCCATGTGTGCAGAGTAGAGCTGCTCCATAGGGTTTTCAAGGCTGTGAGCTTTCAGGAGCAGATCACCAGGTCTGTCTTCCGAGGCGCCTCTAGGTGGGTTCAAACCGCCGATCTTTCGGCTAGTAGCGGAGCACTTAACCATTTGTGCCACCCAGGGACTCAGGGTAGCCCATAGTAGCTCCTAAGGTGGTACTTTTAAACACTTGTGATTCTTCATCCCTGTGAAAGGGGCAGGGAGCAGTAGAAAAGACAGCAGAGTAGCTGTAAAGGAACAGACCTGTTTTTCCTCTATTTCAGCACTCCTTCATAAATTGCTTTGTGTATCCCTAACTGTCTTTAGGATATAGCAAATATTCCGTAAATGTGGTGGGAGAAAACATACACCCATGATTTCACAGGTTTTTCCCCACCTAGGAGATCATGTGCATATTTAGTTCCTTTTTGTTTTCAATACCACGTAGTATACTTCACCATATAAAAAACATCGGTGAAAGATTTTCTAGCTAGCAAGGTCAGCATTCTTCATTGTTCTTGGAGAGTCTACATTCTCCATTTTGGTATTCATTGATACATTTTCTCCATTTTCTGAAGCTTTGCTCCAGCAAGAAGAAAACAAAAATAGAATTTCCAGTAGCTTTATTAAGAAATCCTGTTAAAAACCCTGTGAGTGTGACCCCCCCGCCCCCGCCCCAGACACCTTTTAGCTCAGTAATGAAGTCACTCCTGAGGGTCACCCTTCAACCGAAGATTAGACAGGCCCATAAAACAAAACAAGACTAAAGGGGCACACCAGCCCAGGGGCAAGGACGAGAAGGTAGGAGGAGACAGGAAAGCTGGTAATAGGGAAGCCAAGGTGGAGAAGGGAAAGTGTTGACATGTCATGGGGTTGTTGACCAATGTCACAAAACAATATGTGCACTAATTATTAATGAGAAGCTAGTTCTGTAAACCTTCATCTAAAGTACAAGAATTAATTAAGAAAAAAACCCTGTTAAAAATGGGCACATCAGCCCAGGGGCGAGGACGAGATGGCAGGAGGAGACAGGAAAGCTGGTAATGGGGAACCCAAAGTCAAGAAGGGGAGAGTGTTGATGTGTCGTGGGGTTGGCAACCAATGTCACAAAACAGTATGTGTATTAATTGTTTAATGAGAAACTTATTTGCTCTGTAAACATTTATCTAAAGTACAATAAATTAAAAAAAAACCATGTTAAGATCAAATTGACAATAGCAACTTGAAAGGCTAGAGAAGAAGCTTAGAGGACAGTGAGTTCATGGTAATGGAATAATTCAGAAAAGGAGGGTGAGAATAGTTGCATAACTTGAAGAATGTAATCAGTGTCACTGAATTGTACATGTAGAAATTGTTGAACCAGTGTATCTTTTGCTGTGTATATCTTCCACAACAACAACGAAATTATTTAAAGAAAAAAAGAAACCCTGTTAAGGTTGGAAGGCTGATGGGACCTGGTTCTGGACCAGATCCATGAGATCAGAGTGGTCTTAACAGTCTTTGTGGTCTGATTTTATTGATCTCAATTTGTCTCCTTGTGCTTAGGAGTCTGAGACGTTCTTTTCCACAGTTCCAGAATGGAGACTGAAGGATACCCAGAGACACAAGGAAATAGGAATGAAGTTCACAATGGTCAGATAAGGTCACCACCAGATGGAATGATGGCTGAAGAGCTAGAAGTCATCCTGAAACCGGCTCCCCGGGTCCAGGTTTCATTAGAACCTGTGGGTCTCCCACCAGAGAGCCTTGATGAAGTCTCTGTCGAGGACCTCGAGGCCATCCCACAAAGGAATCCCCCCAACCCTGCAGACTCCCTGCAGAGGTTCAGGCAGTTCCGTTACGAGGATGCAGCTGGTCCCAGGGACGTCCTGCGACATCTCCAGGAGCTTGCTGGACAGTGGCTGAGACCCGATATCCACACAAAGGAGCAGATTGTGGAAATGCTGGTGCAGGAGCAATTCCAGGCCGTCCTGCCCGAGGAGCTCAGGGCTCGGGTGCAGAGATATCGGCCTGGAGTCAGAATTACTGGCTAAGTCTCGCTGCTTGCTTCTTGCTCAGCCCCCATGCAAAAAGTAAGCCAAAGTTCTCTTTGCTGCCAGATCCAGCTGCAGCAGTGGGAAATCTGAACCTCGGTTTTCTTTAAGATTGCGTTTGACTGTTTATAATAAGAATCAATCAAAATCGACGTCTGGACCTCTTTTTGGCCAAGGCAGGTTTATTTCCCAGGACTGACCTCCAGAGGGAATTTCTTTGCCCTCTTGTTAGGACAATCAGCCTGCTGCTTCAGGCTCTTTCAGGAGTGTGTATTTGCTCTGCTGAATGCCTCCTTGTTTGCACTTTGTGATATGCTTTAATATATTATTTTTATGTATCCAAAGAGTAATCAGCTTTAAATTTGAGAATTCTTGATTCTCACCGTGGTAGCATGAATGGAACCCTCTGTAACCCTGTTATACTCACTAGGGATACCCTTGAAATAATAAAGTTTTGTCCTTAATAAACATGTCCTGTGGTGATTGACCAGTTTAGCTCTTAGTAGTCAGCATTTGAGAAAGGTGAGATAGTTACTAGGAGTAGGTGTGAGCTAAGTGGTAAAAATTGTGACTGTGGTGGTAACTGAGCAGGGAAGTAGGAATAGATCTGGTCTTTGTTTTAAAAATCAATGTAAATTGGGCAAAAGTCAGAAAGGGATAAAACAGGGTTATAAGAGGTAAGGGACTGGGCAGAGCTGTTAGATTTGCTTGTTTCTTCATTTCCATCACCTTTATTCTACAGCTTGTCCTCCTGCAAGAGAACTCACTATAAAGCCATCCGACAGGATACTGCCCTGCTTTCCCCACAACACAGAGGTCATCCTTGCTTTTCTTTGTGTGGAGACCTGTACTTTGGCTGACAGCTGAGACAGATCAGTAGCTGTGGTGGTAACAGGCACAGAGTAAACGCAGCTGCTTCCCCAGCCTGGCCCAGTCCTTAGGAACCTTCCTGCCACTGTGGCCTGGCTCTTCGTGGACTTGTGGATCCACTCCTGTGACAAACTTGGTGCCAATTCAAAACCTAAGCTTTTGGGATAATAAGGGCTTGGTTAGCTCCATACTGGAACTCATATTTATTCTACTGATGTTTGGCATTTCCTGTGCCTCCAAGACTGTTCTAGATGCTAGAATACAAATATAAAACCTAGTTTAAAGGAACTTTATAGTTTTTGAGGAGAGAAGAAGACACCCTCAAAATAGAAACGCTAGAGTACGTAAAACTAGTTTTCCTTTTGGTATCTGGTTTTGAGCTAGCACTAAGAAAAATCATTTCCTATTTTTTAAAAATGTTACAAGCAGGGAAGAGAGGAAGTAGCCAAGTTGAGGAAGTGGCATTTTAATTGAACTTTAGAAAAGAAGTAGGAGATCACTGGGCAGAAGGCTTTTTAGAACAAGGGACACCTTGGGCAAAAGCAGGGGAATGTAAAGGCACATAGTGTTGGGGAATAGTGAACATACAGATGAGTGAAATATGCCTTTTATGGACTCTAGGTTAAGCTTTTCCAAATTCTAATGGTAAAATTTAAAATTAGCAAAGGGGTTAGTAACCCTGATAGGGTGATAGTTACCTCAAGTTCATCAGCTTGAAACATTCTGAAGGAATTTCCCTTAGTCTGAAGGGGTCAGGAACTCCTGGTGTTCAGGAATTTCTTGGCCTGTACCCGTTTCTTAGCTGCTTCAATGATCATGAATTCAGTATGCAAGTAAGGAGCCCCTTTCCAGGTTGACCAAGAAGTTTTACCTTAGAGGTTTTATGGCAAGGCAGCTAAGATTTCCTTAACTGAGGTTTCTCAATCTTGGCACTATTGACATTTGGGGCCAGAAAATTTTTTGTTGTTGGGGATGTCCTGTGCTTTGAGGATGTTTAGCAGCATCCCTTAATGTTGAATTAATGCTGTAGGAAGAGTAAATTGGGCTTTATATTTCCTTTATGTGTTTGGGTAATGTCACCTACTCTGACAAATCCTAAGAAGCTGTTTGGTATGAAGAATCTTCAGCTTTTAGAACATTTTATTGGGATGGATCAGGATCTGTACTGTATACATTCATGCTTCATTTAATCCTAACAATTCTGTGAGGTAAGTAGTACATTACCTATTTCACAGATGAGAAAACTGAGGTCCAGCAGTTAAACAACATGGCCAGTAAGTGATGGAGCTGGAATCTGAGCCTTGATTTTCTGTATCCCTGGTCTTGGGCTTTTTTCATCCTATGTGGAGATGTTAATAAACATCTCAATAATGTGCAAGATGTTTCTTTTGCTTTTTTTTCATCTTAGATTCATTTAATACAAAAAAAAAAAATTTTTTTTTAAATAACCCATAATCTCACTGCCCAGGTAACTCCTTGTGATGATTCAGGTTGTGTGTCAGCTTGGCTGGGCCATGATTCTCAGTGGTTTGACAGTTACCGTGTAGTTTGGCAGTTATGTAATGATGTAATCACCTCCATGATGAGATCGACTATGAGCAGCCAATCAGTTGAAAGGGAGTTTCCTTGGGGGTGTGGCCTGCATACCATATATATGGACTTTCTTGCAAAGCTCACTGGCTTTTGCTCTGCTCCGTAGCCTGCATTCAGCTCTTCATCATCTGACCTACGGTTCTTGGGACTTGAGTCAGCAGCCTGCCATCTGGCCTGCCCGTCTCGGGTTTGCCAGCCCCTGTGGCTACATGGGAGCCCTAGTGGTGCAGTGGTTAAGAGCTCAGGCTGCTAACCAAAAGACTGGCATTTCAAATCCACCAGCTGCACCTTGGAAACCCTATGGGACAGTTCTACACTGACGTATAGGGTCACTATGAGTCAGAATTGACTCGATGGCAATGGGTTTTGGTTTTTTGGTGGCTACAGGAGTCAGGAGAGGCCTGATGCCTGACCCACGGACTTGGGACTTGCCAGGCTCTACAACTGCATGAGCCATTTCTGTCATATAAATCTCTTTCTACACACACACATATATATGTATATACATATGCACTTCATTGGGCTCCAACTGCGTGCTCTTGCCACGAGGTCGTACTGCCTGGAGGTCAGAGTAGACCAGCTCTGGTGTTTCAAGAGCTCTCTGGGGACTGGGGAGCAGAGTAATTCCCCACCTCTATGCCACCTCCGAGATGGTTCCTGTGCTTCCTCTACTCATCCAGTCAGCACCACCTACAGTTACCACCTGTGTCTGTCATTGTCATTTCTTGGGCCAATCTAGACCCCACCTCTAAAGACTTTAAGCACACTGAGTCTAGTGAGTGATGGGGAAGGAGGACGGCAATGTTGAGATAAAGGGAAGTATTTCTGAAATGTCTCCTGTATCTGGTTTCCCTTTGTGATTATTTTGACTCCAAGTTCCATGAAAGGATAATTTTATCTAGCCATTGAAAAGTGCTCCTGCCTGATGGCTGCTGGTGAAAACTGGTGTTGGGACCACAAGGTAATACGAGATTCTTAGCAACTGGCTGGTGCTGTGGAAAAATATGTCATCTGTTGGGCAGCTACTCCCTGAGCAATGAGTGGGTGCCAGGCTCTGGCTGCTGGAGAGGAGGTCAGCTTCAGGGAGTGTGGGGCCACGAGGAGTTCACCATGGTGATGGTGGTGGCCAGAGAGTTCAAGGGCCTTCCCGGAGGGTCATGTGTGGCCAGTTTCCATAGGCAGCTCAGTACAATGCACACTGACTTGACTCTATTTTGCTAAGCATTTTCTTTCCACCCACTGCAAGCATTTATCGGACATTTTCCTTGGCCTGGAATGCCCCTCCCCCACACCTCCCTGATCTTTGCCAGCCTACTCCTATTCATTCTTTATGACTCAGATAGGCATGGTCACCTTCATGAAGCCACCTTTAATTTCTGCCTTGAACCAGCATTTGGAACCCTTCTGTGGGCTTCTCTAACACTGGCTCTCTCACTCCCTGTTCATTCAGCAAATATGTATTGTGTCCACAATGTGCCATGCACTGTTCTAAGTATAGCATGTAGTGCAGGGTCTCATTTGTCTCTCCAGCCAGACTGTGAGCTCCTGAAGAGGGAATCTCTGTGTTTTTGGCACCAAACACAAGGCCTGCAAATGGTTGATCCTCTAGAAACATTTTGACTTTTGTGGGAGACATATGGGTGCTCCCTGTTTCAAGGCGTTTCATTCCAGTGAACACAAATAATTACAGCTCATTGGAGACCATGAAGTGTTACACTGGGTAGGAGGATGTGAAATTATTAATTCCTGTGGAAGGGCTGGGGATGAAGGTAAAAATAAAAAAGAAGATTCAGTCAGGTGGCTGGCTTCCCTCTCTGTTCTGCACCTGACCTTGTAACTAGGTGAGGTTAATGAGGTGAGGTGAATTGCACTTGGCTGGCCCTGCTTGAAAGCTCAAGGGCCCCCTTGGTGCCTAGCAACAACTTGACTTCCCAGAATGATGATTTTGAAGCTGGGTGTGTCTCCTAGGCAGGAAGCCACTAACACCATCAAAGCAGCCAGGGCCTCCCCTTCACTTCCTCTGAGCCCAAACTCCACCTCCAACTGGGGCCAATACTTAGTGTTTTTGAGCCTTGTTTTAGGAGCACAACTGGGAGGGTTCTTGCCCTGATGACTCCACCACTTAGGAGGTGTGTGTAGTCTCAGATGAGTCACGTCAGCTCTCTGAGAGTCAGTTCCTGCACCTGTCTTGCTCCTAGCTAGGGTCACCTAGCACAGCACCCAGAGCACAGTATCAGAATCTGCTTGGTTAGGGGCAGATACAGTTAGTGATTCTCTCTCAGCTGTCCCTCTGATTTTGTTCTTTTCTCTTGAGTCCCTCTCATGAACCAGCTCCATCTTCTCATGACTAATTTCTCTACATAAAATCCCCTCCTCACCATGCCAGTCCTCTCTACCCCTCTTCTTTTATTTATCATTTCCACAACCATTAAACCTCATCATCAAGACTCGCAAAATTTGAGGTGGGGCCAAGATGGCGAAGTAGTCACACACTTCCAGTGGACCCTCTTACAACAAAGACCCAAAAAAACAAGTGATTCGATTATATATGGAAGTCTGGGAGCCCTGAACATCAAAGGCAGAGTTGAGGAACCGGACTGAGTGGCAGGGGGAGGGAAAGACGGTTTGGAAGCAGCTAGGAGTTGCCAGACCTGAGCCGGCGAGAGCCTGAGCCCTTCAGGCCTGTTCAGCTCAGGGGTAAGCGGTGAGGCAGGCAAGCAGCTGTGCTTGGGAGGCACATTTTCCACACCAGGAGATACCCAGCCGCTGAGAGTCTACACTACATGGCCACCCAGACCAATGAGAAGCAGCCCTCATCGGAGAAAGATAAATACTTGCATACGGCTTACTGTGCGGATCAAAAACACCCCCCTTAGGGAAAAACCTCTCTCCCATGTACCTCCCTGCTCCCTGCTCTACACTGGGTCCCAGACCGGCTTCAGCAATTGCTGAGTCCCCTGGGCCGTAAGTAGGATCCGTCGCATGACTGGAGCCATTCTCC